ATTGCAGACAAACAAGATATTGCAATGTCAGTTTTTCAATATCAATATAGACATAATTACAGTTATTTTGCTCATAAATGTAATCACGGTTATTCAAAACGATTATCAGTTGAAGTCGAAATTATTAGCGCTCCTGTGAATTTTATTTAATTTTTTATAAATATTTCCGGAATCATGTTTATGAATTTTTCTCAGTATTTCCTATAATATTTTTTCCTCTGGAGAAAGTCTTATTTGTTTTATTTTGGCTAGAATAAAAGCAGGTTTAAATATTTTAAAGCCTATGTTAAGGTCAACATAAAAAGTCTCCCGCAAATGCACAGAGACTCCTGAATGCCCCCAAACCAGTGATCGAAATCGCGCGTCTCCCTCCCGGTCCTCAAATACGTCGTGCACTCTTCTCACCCCTCCCCCACCGCATTCCTCCTCGCTCTTCTGACACGTCGCGTGCACCTTGTCAAACACCACCAAACCACCACCTCCCAACAGCTGAGCCAAAAAAACCGTGAAACTCTGACCAATGTGAGGAGAGTTTACTCACACATGGTTTGTTTTAGCTCCTTTGGTCCGTTTAGAAACTTTGCCGTGTGAAAGCGAACCGGACCAAGAGCAAAGAGCAACAATGTAACAGTTTTAATCCCTGTTTCAGAACAACTGAATCGATTCACAGGTGTGAAAGCACCCTAAGAGATATCAGCTTTCCTCTGATTGGCCGGAATAACTAAATAAGCTGTTCAAGTGTACTGAACGTGTCTAATCCACAATTTGCACGTGGACGTGACCGAACCTGGCCTCTCCGGATCAGCGCTGAGAGGATCGAGCAGATAGGCTGATGTCTTCATGATAGGCATGAGTGCTATTGACAGAGAAAGTGTGTGTGCTGTGGATGACTGGCCTTTAGCTCTGTCGCAGCCATCCATTGGATTAGCCGAGACCACAGGGAAATGGGATTATGGGATTTGCGGCTGCTGATACCCGACCTCTGACTCTCACCTTCCCGCTCTCATGTTTCCTCTCACTCTGGTGTTTCTGTAACCCACCATCAAACACACACCGCTGAGTGCCCGGCAGGAGTTTGAGAGGGAATCCACAGGTTTTGGGATCGCATTTGAGCTGGAGATCAATCAAGCAACTTCTTTTGTGTGGTTTTGCCCATGAAAAATTGGATTTTTGTTGGTGGTTTGGCCTGTTAACTGGTGCATTTGCCTACAGGGATCCTCTTATGCTTTGTACACTTTCAGCTTAGCACTTATACTGCTGTTTGAGCATTAAAAACATCCTCACTGAAAGTCACTTCAGAATAAGACTGGACAATATTAAGCCTTTTCTGAACTTTCTGTACTTTTTGTTAATATAAATTGACCACACGGGACAATTTCTTTTTTACATTTTAAAAGTATAGACCACCTGACAAAAGTCTTGTCGTTGATCCCAGTTGTAAGAGCATCAAAAAATGACTTCTAGTTGATCATTTGGAAAAGTGGCAGAAGGTAGATTTGTCTGGTGAATCATCTGTTAAACTGCATCCCAATCTTCACAAATACTGCAGAAGACCTACTGGAACCTGCATGGAGCCAAGATTCTCACAGAAATCAGTCAAGTTTGGTGAAGAAGAAATCATGGTTTGGGGTTACATTCAGTATGGGGGCGTGTGAGAGATCTGCAGAGTGGATGATCATCATCAACAGCCTGAGGTATCAAGACATTTGTGCTGCCCATTACATTACAGACCACAGGAGAGGGCAAGTTTTCCAGCAGGATAGCGCTCCTTCTCATACTTCAGCCTCCACCTCAAAGCTCCTGAAAGCAAAGAAGGTCATGGTGCTCCCGGATTGGCCAGCCCAGTCACCAGACATAAACATTATTGAGCATGTCTGGGGTAAGATGATGGAGGACTTGAAGAAGAATCCAAAGGATCTTGATGAACTCTGGGAGTCCTGCAAGAACGCTTTCTTCGCCATTCCAGATGACTTTATTAATCAGTGATTTGAGTCATTGCAGAGATGTATGGATGCAGTCCTCCAAGCTCATGATGGAGTCAGACACAATATTCATTCTGTCTCCACTGCAGCAGGACTTTATATTCTATACTGGACATTATTTCTGTTCAGTGACGAGACTTTTGTCTAAGCATATATATACAAATATAATACATTATGGGTAACACTTTAGTTTAAGTACCTAGTCTTATTATTGACTAGTAGGGTTGCCAGTACTGGTCCCAGTACAATGTTTACCAATATTATGGTGGTATCGCGATACTTTGGCTACAAAATACTACTGTAGTTTGTAAATGGTAGTATCGTCATTAATAGTTCATCTACAATAGATAATTTTGCGTGTGGAAAAATCACTAAAATGCTTGTGCAACAATAGACCTATTGTTATAATAGTCTGTGGACCCTTTTAAGGTTGCAAAACTGTAAAGTTTGCAGCTTTTAGGGTAGCACATTGCACATTTTCTGACGCTTCAGTTCGAGCGCACATCTGATCGGTTCATTTATGTTCCTGTCAATATGAATTAGTAGCTACAACAACCGTGGTTATCTCTTAAAAAGAACAACTCACAGAGTGATATTTTGAAGTACTTTGGATTGTTACCTGATAAGACTGAACAAAAAAAAAACAAACAAACAAACAAACAAAAAAAAAAACAATAGAACCCAAAAGAGCAACAGGAAACATTGAAACAATTTCTGACCACTTCCTGCTATAATTAGTATCTGTTACAAAAAAAAAACACAAATAGAGCACAAATAACACAAATACACAACAGTATCTTTGTTTGAATGTATTTTTTGTTGGTCAGTTGGAAAACAGAAAAATTGAACTCATTTTAGGTGAAGTGACATGCAAATACTACTATTTTCAATAATAAAGGAATTATGAATTAAATTGAAGTAGGCCTAACATAACATAAAATACAGTATTTCTGACAATTTTCTTTAAAATTTTTATGTTATGAAGTACAATATCACAATACTACTTGGTATCGGGATACTTTAGCTGGTATAGTATTGTAAGATAGTTAATAGTATCGTGACAACCCTATTGACTAGTGGCTTATCCCCGACCTATTGTTAAGATATTAGTATATTAATACTTTATACTATAAATTACATATTAATAGGGCTGGGCGATTTGGCAAAAAAAATAAATATAAAATCTAGGTTTTTTTTTAAAGTTTGACCGATTCACGATTTCGATTTATTTATTTATTTTTTTATTGTGTTACTAGTCTTCTCAAAACATTACAACAACATGACTGAAGTAACATTCTCTTTAAAAGTAACTTGAAGAACCATCTGGTTAAGGAACATTGTATTTTTAATGGCCATGTCTTACAAAATTGGTCAAGGTGTAAATAAATGTAAAACAAATTCACGAGGTAAATATCGTTGCTGAAGATTTGAATAAGAAATATTTGTGTAAATATTGCAGTTGCAGGAATACAGAGGTATTTTTTGCAAGTTTTGCTGAGCCTAGGAAAGATTGGCTGTCAGTAATTGTAAATAACAGGTTGTAAAGCTGCTGCCTTTTTCTTAAAAAGATAGTGGAAGAAAAGGACTGAACATGGAAACTGTAAAGCCTAATTTACCCCAATGTATGAAGTTGTGGACGTATAGAAGGAGCAAATACAAGCACCAGATGTGTGTCTAATATAAAATAATATTTCCCCCCTTTTAAATACCGATCATTTGATGCGCTTTGCTCCACTCTCTGTATTATGCTGCCTGATCTGTCGGGTTTTCAACTAGGTCTGCTAAATGACGTCATGGGGGCGGGTACTTTCATTTTCACTGCTACAGTCCCTCACCTCTGCTCGTGTTCAAACTTCAAACCAAAAAATCAGCGTAGTTTTTCACATGGCAGGCTTTTACGTCCTTCATACATGTTGAAATCGAGTTTGTCGACTTGATGAGGGAATGTCTTGAAAATCCACACAGACGTGACTCAGACTAATGCAACAAGTAAAATCCTACATGACTTCACGCTTTAACAGGCAGTCAGGCAGGTCGTACACCAGAAGCGCCGCAACACGGCACGCACATAACAGTTTAAACTATCACACACACCAAACGCGCACATTCGCATATTTAACATGAAACTAATCAGATGGTGCTCTGTGGTGCAGCTGAAATATGAACTGCTTCGTGAATCGTGGCTGGGCGGCGCCGGTGTGTTTATAGAAATGCATCGCAGAGAGGCGCTTCTGGTGTGCTTCCTACTTCATAGAGTGAACCAAAGCGCATTGGTGCCATTATAATGTATTAAATATATATATTTTTAAAAATCACGATTTCTCGATTTGATTCAAAATTAAATCGTCTTAAAACGTAAATTCAAATTAATCGAAAAAATCGGGAAAAATCGCCCAGCCTTACATATTATGATTGATCTTATTACGCCCCTTATCATATCCAATTCTTAAGCCCAATACTACTACATTTAATAATTAATTTATATAATTTAATAGTTATTGAACAGCAAATTAAGAGAGTTGAGGCAGTAGTCACAGTTAATGGTTTATTAATAGCGAAAAATTATTGGCCTGTCCCTGACATATAGTCAATTATAGCTTTTCGGGAAGGAATGTCAAATAAGTCATAGAGGATTTTCTCCTTAATTTTCATTTTCTTTTGCTTTATGAAACCTGTTTTTTTAAAATGGGACAGTTGGTTTAGATTGGCTTCAGATCGTGCTAAACACACGCCACGATTGTAACATTTTTATTCCATAAACCTCTTATAAAAAAATCTGGTTCCTGGAAGCAGTGGCATCCAAGTGATTTCTCTCATTCAGGTAAAAACACGTCTTGGCTTCTCCTGAATGAATTTATTGCCAATGCATGCAGGGAAATCTGTGCATTCCAGATCTTTGGTTGAAACTCAGCCCAGACAGGTTCGCCCACAGCAGTAACCTCCTGTATTTATGGGAGCGGGAATGAATTGTGTAAGTGGCATAAATGTGATGAATTCTGTTGTGCTTGTGTGTTGCAGTTGCTGGGAGCTGCATTCCTGGGTATTGGACTTTGGGCCTGGGCAGAAAAGGCAAGTTGGAAACACAAATACAGAGTAACACAGCGATCAGTGCCTCGTGCCTCAAATTCCTAATATTATTATCCATGCGGTTGCTTGAGCAACATAATCATGGACATAAACGGAAAACAATGCCGCACTTTACAAGAGGGAACCACCGACAAATACTCTTCTGTCTCGTTCAGTTTATTGGTTTAAATTTGCTAAATTGAATATTTAAAGAAAAAAAATGTTCTGTCCATGTTTTTAGATGCTCATTGGCCAAATGTAAAGCAGTTTTTCCTTCGGATGTCTGTATTTTGTCTTTTAAAGATACAGTTTACCCGAAAATGAAAAAAATTTCAACCATTAATTCACCCACAAGTGGTTTTGAACCTTTGAGTTTATTTTTTGTTGAACACAAAGCAAGATATTTTGAAGTAGGACTGCAGAATTGTTTCAGCTAGGCGTTAGCTGCTATAATTTTTCCAACGGTATAATAACCTTGGATAAATATATCACTGTTTCATGGTATCAGGTATTGTGATCACTGCTGTAAAATGAGTTATTTTAAAATGTATGGGTAACCAAAATATAAATGTATTATATTATAATATAAATATTATGAAATTGGTACTATTTTTGCAAATAAACTGCACAGTTGCAATCTAAACAACTACATTCTTGACTAAAAAAGCCTCAAAAGTATATTTTGTTGTCTAACAGGAGTAATATTTGTCAAATTGTAGTGTCCTGCTTGTTGCTGGCTTTATGTGGGAGGAGTAATACACAAAGGGTAAAGAGGCTGTAGGGATGCTGATATTACTTAAATATATCACGGCTATCAGCCAATCAGATTCGAAATCCAGACAGAACTGTTGTGTGTGTGTGTGTATATATATACAGTTGAAGTCAGAATTATTAGCCCCCCTGAATTGTTAGAACCCCTGTTTATTTTTTCCCCTATTTCTGTTCAACAGAGAGCAGATTTCTTCAACACATTTCTAAACATTATAGTTTTAATAACTCCTTTCTAATAACTGATTTGTTTTATCTTTGCCATGATGACAGTAAATAATATCTTACTTTATATTTTTCAAGACACTTCTATGCAGCTTAAAGTGACTTTTAAAGGCTTAACTAGGTTGATTAGGTTAACTAGGCAGGTTAGGGTTATTAGGCAAGTTATTGTATAACGATGGTTTGTTCTATAGACTATTGAAAAAAAGTTAGCTTAAAGGGGCTAATAATTTTGTCCTCAAAATAGTGTTAAAAAAATGAATAACTGCTTGTATTTTAGCCGAAATAAAACAAATTAGACTTTCTCCAGAAGAAAAAAACATTATCAGACATGCTGTGAAAATTTCCTTACTCTGTTAAATATAATATGGGAAATATTAAAAAAAGCAACAAAAATTCAAAGAGGGGGCTAATAATTCTGACTTCAACTGTATGTATGTATGTATGTATGTATGTATGTATGTATGTATGTATGTATATATATATATATATATACATATACATATACATATATATATATATACATATATATATATATATATATATATATATATATATATATATATATATATATATATATATATATATATATATATATATATATATATATATATATATATATATATATATATATATATATATATATATATATATATATATATATATATATATATATATATATATATATATATATATATATATATATATATATATATATATATATATATATATATATATATATATATATATATATATATATATATATATATATATATATATATATATATATATATATATATATATATATATATATATATATATATATATATATATATATATATATATATATATATATATATATATATATATATATATATATATATATATATGTACATATATGTATATGTGTGTGTGTGTGTATATATATATTTATATATGCAAATCACGTGACATACAATTTCATTATTGGATTTTACAGATATAATCTATAAAATTATGCTATATGAATACACATTTATATAACAAAGTTATTTCCAAATAAGCAGAAACATTATATATATATATATATATATATATATATATATATATATATATATATATAAACATATATCAAAATATTGCTAAAATGTTCATTTAAATATATAGATATATTTTTTACTATTTGTAACTATTAGGTACAGATATGCTTTAATATTGGATATAATTGTGTGCATATGTCTATATATGCCCACATGGAAAAAGTACAATAGTTATCACTCACTGGCCATTTTATAAGGTACACCATATTACTAGTACCAGGTTGGATCCCCTTTTGCCTTCAGAACTGCTTTAATCCTTCATGGCATAGATTCAATAAGGTGCTGGAAATATTCCTCAGAGATTTTGCTCCATATTGACATGATAGCAATGGGACGTGAATCTCCCGTTCCACCATATCCCAAAGGTGCTCTATTGGGTTGAGTTCTGGTGACTGTGGAGGCCATTTGAGTACAGTGAACTCATTGTCATGTTCAAGAAACCAGTCCGAGATGATTCGTGCTTTATGATATGGGGCGTTATCCTGCTGGAAGCAGCCATCAGAAAATGGATACACTGTGGTCATAAAGAGATGGACATGCTCAGCAACAATACTGAGGTAGGCTGTGGCACTGACATGATGCTCAATTGGTACTAATGGACCTAAAGTGTGCCAAGAAAATCTCCCCCAGACCATTACACACCACCACCACCAGCCTGAACCATAGATACAAGGCAGGATGGATCCATGCTTTCATGTTGTTGATGCCAAATTCTGACCTGACCATTTAAATGTGGCAGCAGAAATGGAGACTCATCAGAGCAGGCAACGTTTCTCCAATCTTCTATTGTCCAGTTTTGGTGAGCCTGTGTGAATTGTAGCCTCAGTTTCCTGTTCTTAGCTGACAGGAGCGGCACCCAGTGTGGTCTTCTGCTGCTGTAGCCCATCTGTGTTGTGTGTTCAGAGATGCTCTTCTGCAGACCTCTGTTATATCGAGTGCTTATTTGAGTTACTGTTGCCTTTATATCAGCTGAAACCAGTCTGGCCATTCTCCTCTGACCTCTGGCATCATCAAGGCATTTGCACCCACAGAACTGCCGCTCACTGGATATTTTCTCTTTTTCTGACCATTCTCTGTAAACCCTAGATGTGAAAATCCCTGTAGATCAGCAGTTTCTTAAATACTCAGACCAGCCCGTCTGGTACCAACAACCATGCCACATTCAAAGTCACCTAAATCCCCTTTCTTCCCCATTCTGATGTCTACATTCTTAAATGCATTGAGTTACTGCCATGTGATTGGGTAATTAGACATTTGAGTTAACGAGCAGTTGGACAGGTGTACCTAATAAAGTGGCCTGTGGGTGTACTTAGTAAATACTGCAGTCTTTTTAACCATACTATAGTAATACTGTATAGAATATAGTATTTACACTCTCTCAGCAGTGACCTTCTTGCTGCCACTGTATTATTCCAGTCCCAATCATAACACAAGTCTCGTTCCATCAACATGTAATCTGCGAAGTGTTAGGGCTGCACAATATATTGTTTGAGCATTGATATATCCCAGCGTGCATATCCACAATAGTCACATCGCAGGATTAGATTATTTATTTAAGATTAAAAGATAAAGATATTCTTATTTTTAAATAATTTATTTGATGATGACCATGTTATTTTATGTTTGATCAATCAATTTCTGTACCTCAGTACTGTTAGGTACACATTTCTAGTCATAATAGTTTTAATAACTCATTTCTAATAACTGATTTATTTTATCTTTGCCATGATGACAGTAAATAATATTTTACTAGATATTTTTCAAGGCACTTCTATACAGCTTAAAGTGATATTTAAAGGATTAACTAGGTTATTTAGGTTAACTAAGCAGGTTAGGGTAATTAGGAAAGTTATTGTATAACAGTGATTGTTCTGTAGACTATAAAAAAAAAAATAATAAATAAATAAATAAAAAAAAAATATATATATAGATTTACCAGTTAAACTCTGCAGCTATTGATTTCCGCCTGGATTTTGCCTACCCAAATTTAAAAGCTTCCCAAATCCACATGCAGAGGTGTAAATGCAAAAATTTGGCATCATTTTAAAGAAAACCCTTTGAATTTTCATAAAACACTATTGAAAGTGTTTAAAATAACTGTATATGTTGTCTGTGTTATAATAAACACCTAAAAACGAGGCGCTTTTTGTATTTTTTTTTTAACTCAAATGTGAAAGTGTACCTTTTAGGTTGTGTGTGGTCTAGCGTGCTGTAAATAATGTTGGTGGTCTCTGCACATGTCTGTAATCATAGGAAAACAGAAAAATGTCTCCACCATAATCTATGCAAAAGTTATTGTATTCCAGCTGATGAGAGGTGCTGTACAAGCCACAGGGAGCGATCATTTTCATATTTCACTATTCTTTTGTTTGATCAAACATAATTCACTGTGTTTAGACCACGACAGACATATAAAAGGATTACTTATGCACATCACCTTAAAAACAGGAGAATGGCCCTGAAGCGCACAGCGCTTGTTCTGCTTGCTTCCACCTACGCAACATTAATCGTCTCCGCCCTTCTCTTACCCCTCATGCCACTGCTGTTCTCGTTCATAGCCTTGTCACATCTCGTTTAGATTACTGCAACTCTCTTCACTTTGGTCTCACTTATAAATCTCTCCGTAAGCTTCAGTTGGTCCAGAACTCAGCTGCCCGTATCATCACCAGAACCCCTTCTTCTCATCACATCACCCCTGTCCTGCAGCAGCTTCATTGGTTACCTGTTCATTTTCCAATTGACTTTAAAATCTTGATGTTAACATTCAAAGCCATCCACAATCTCGCCCCTCCATATTTGTCTGCCCTCATCCACATTTCTGTTCCTTCTCGCACCCTGCGATCTTCTTCCTCCCTCCACTTGTCTGTTCCCTCTTCTCGCCTTTCAACTAAGGGCAACAGAGCATTTAGCCGCTCTGCTCCGCAGCTTTGGAAC